TGTCCCATTTTCTTCCAACATCATCTGTCGGTTCACTAGCTGCCCTAGCATGTCTGTGTTCCCTAGAAGCTGCCTGACATTTTGCTATGGCTCTCTAACTTCCTCATCTCACCAACTCTTTGGTTTAAGTCTTCTTTTCCGGGGTGACTTGTCACGTGCCTTACCAAGCTCTAGCTCAAACAGTCTAATTAGAGTCGTGTATGTCCACACTGTTTTATTATCCTCAGGGATTACTTTCTCATTTTGTTTAGTAGCCTATTTCTATTTGCGTTTCTGAATAAAAAGTTTCGTGTAGTTGCTGATCTCGTCTCCTTCCCAGTTTCATTGCTCTTCCAAAACGTAGCTTGATTGGTTTGTGATCAATACCCAGACTTCTCGAGCCACATTCATATTATGTGCATTGTCCTGAACCTACCATAATCCTATGTGACATCACTGCATAATCTATCGTCAACTGCAGCCTTCCTACCTCCAATCTTATTTGCCCTTCCCACTTCTACGTACTGTTGAAAATGATCAAATCTTGCCTTCCACACATATCTATGATCATTTCACCTGTTAGGTCAGTGTATCCATCTGTATATTCGATGTGCGCATCCGTATCTCCTAGTATAATAATCTCGCAGTCCCCTTCTAATTCCTCAATGTCCTTTATTATACACTCCGCCATTAGTGGTTTTTCCTCTCTGGCCTTTCCTCCAATCCACAAGTACACCAATCCATCTAGCCAGCTACTTTCCATCTTCACCATAAATGTTTCATGCATCCCTGCTAGACTCTTGGCCAACCTACACTTTTATGTATGAGTGCACCAATTCACCCCCCTTTTTGCTGCCTTCTATTCTATTGAAGTATCCTATACATAGTCCGGAATTCAAGTTGGTTGCTCCATAATCCGAAGATGTGTCTCCACAACCCCATATATAATTAGCTCCTCCTGCCTCAACCGATCTTCTATCTCTTCCCACTTTAACCTATTCCTGCCACCCTGCATGTTAATAAAGCCTTCTGTCTGACTTAGCTCAGCCCTTGTGCTTACGTCGATTTCTTCTCCTACGGACTCCTTGTGGCTTGAATATTTCTGCCCTTTTAGAACCGTCTTTTTCTACACTGTTGGCCTTCAAGGCTCTGGGTCCCATTAAAAATGCTGTGGCTTGACGACCCACCATATTACTGACCCTTCTGCTCGTCGCACAACTATAGTGCATGCCATCCTGTGCAAAGGGGCGAGCGCCGGGCTCGTACGCGTATTGGTTCACTTTTATTACGCTGTATCCGAGTTGCTGGCTCATACCCTTGATCCCACAGTTGGTCTCCACTGTCCTTCTTTCAATCTCATGAGACTGCCCCCAAACCTCTGGGACTGTGCATATGGTCCCATGCACACTCCCAGAAGCTTCTCAGAGCATACGCATCTCATCCTTAACTGTCTCTGAAGATTCTGATCCTTGCCCTTTAACGCATCATTGAGCTTAGCATAAATTATGACGAGATTTTGCCCTCCATGCTGTCCTCTATAACCTCCTGAGCTTTGGCCAGTACATCCACCATGCTCTTCCCTGACTGGGCCTCCACGCATACTCTACCATCTTCCTTCACTGTCGTGAAGACGCCATACCTAACACTGGCCACGTTAGAGTCCCTCACCACTAGGACCCTTCTACGCTCCAATCGCTGGCTTCCTGTTTGTGATGACGCCCCTGTTTGATTCACCTGTTTCTCTCTCTGCCGTCTGTCCTGTCTCCTTGCCCTGCTCGAAAACTGCCGCGCCACCGAGCTGTATGTTCTCGGAGCTTCCGTGCTGTGGCCAGACACTGCGGCCCCCTGGCCTCCCTTTCCGCCTGGCACCTCCTCCGCTACCCACGCCTTTCATCTCACACTGCTCGGGGCCGGGGTACAGCGCCATTAGCTCCTTCAACAGCTGCTCGAGCTTGGTCCGCCCTTCAAGTTCTTTTCGAAGGTCGCCTTTCATTTGCTCTAATAGGCTGTTGGTAGCCTCCTGCCGCTCACGCGACGCTCCGAGATGTTTTTGAGTTCTATCCTCTGCTCCCGTTCCACCCCAAGCTCCTCCTGAAGCCCCTCGATGCTAGCCTCCATGCGCTGCACGGCCGCCTTCAAATTCTCGCACAGCCTGCACGCAAAGCTCGCCTTCTGCACGTCGGCCCAACTCGAGAATTCTGTCTCGCCTAAGTAGCACCAGCGCTTACATTCTTCGCACTTGCACCAGCTCACCCTCGCCCGTGGTTTTAATAGCCTCCTGAGCCATCACCCGCCCGACCATCGGACCAAATGCCCGACAGCCTTAAGTTCAACCCCTAATCTTGCTATCCAGCTGCCCTCCACCACTTCTCCTATCTCAACAACTGTTGGAAGCTGCCGCCTACACCACAAACACGTGTTCGATTTCGCTAGTGGCCTCTCACTATCAGGATAGCGCCCTATTGAATGCCCTCTACAGGCTGTGAAAGTTGCGAATTGCGACTTGCCCTTCCTACGACTGAACGCAACGCCGACAATTCAGAGAACTGTGTAGCCGCTCTGGACTCGCGGTTTCCAGATTTGGAAACGTTCTTTACAGAACAACTTCAAGACCGTAGTTTGGCTCTTTTTTTCTTATCTGCCATCGAGGAGCCCCATCAGTTTCGCATTCGTCATGCAGAATGACAATCTGTGTAAGAGAAATTTTGCTGCAAACGGGGCCCGCCTACTGTTGGTTGTCCCCAAATCTTTTCGACCCAACGTGCTGCAAGCTATGCACAACGAAGCAACATCGGGGCATATGGGGATTGTCAAGACCTATTACTGCACACTGGAACGTTTCTACTAGCCCCGCATATGCGTCAAGCTACAGATAAATATGTAGCCAGTTGTGAGCATTGTCAACGGTAGAAAACTTCAAGAAGTGCGCCGCAAAGTTTTCTCCATCCCATAACGCTTCCAAGTGTTTGTTCCTTTTGAGGTCGTCGGTATTGACTTGATCGGCCCTTTTCCACGATCGATCACTGGGAACCGCTAGATTATAATCTGTGTTGACCACCTCACTCGGTATGCTGAAACCGCAGCGATCTCTGCTGCAATAACCGATCTCGTTTTTGACTTCCTACTACGCTACGTCATCCTTTGGCAAACGTCCCCTCGTGCCATAATCAGCGACCGTGTCCGACAGTTTCTAGCCGACGTCATGGAAGAGTTTCTTCGCTGGTCCGCTTCCCAAATTCATCCCGCCACTTCGTATCATCCACATGCAGACCAATGGTCTAACTGAGCGTGTTTACGAGACGCTGGTTAACATGCTCGCAGTGTACATCAATTCTGAGTATAAAAACTGGGACGCAGTTTTGTCGTTTATGACTTACGCATACAACACTGCGCTACAAAAGACCACCAGCTTTAGCCCATTTTGTCTTCTCTACATCCGTTGCCACGGACGACCCTCAATGCAATACTCCCGTTTTCCGAGCAAGTAAGCCCCTCCCTTGCAGAGACACTCTATCACGCAGAGGAGGCACGGCACATTGCGCATCTCCGAACTTTCGCAGCCCAAGACCATTCAAAGGCTCGCTACGACAAGCGACATCGACGTGTGTCGTACAGCGAAGGAGATATGGTGTGGCTGTGGACTTCATACCGCAAGCATAGCTTGTATCGAATGTTCTTCGCCTGCTATAGCAGTTCTTTTTATGTTTTGTCCCGTCTTAGTGACGTTACGTACGTGATGTCACGCCTCACATCTTCTGGTCATCGCTCCAGAAAAACAGACGTTGTACATGTCGCCCGGTTGAAGAAATAGCTACGCGCGACACTAATTCGCCCAGTGGCCATCGTCTGCAATGGGGGAAATGGTACGAGACCTTCGTCGAAGTGGAAAACAGGAGACTGAAGTGACTGCGTTCGTTGCACAGGCTTTGTTCTGCGACCATCGATCATCCCACCTGTACAATAAACATCTCTCACCGTAACACTATTTAGAGCTTTAAATTTCGAATTCCCTCTAATCACCTTGACAGCCTGCCCTGGCCTAAATTAAATTAAAGAGGAGGCAAGACAGCCCTTCATCGGGTACCCTTGTCTGGCATGTTTTTGCAGAGAGTTTCCCTAGGCAGGATGTGAGGATAAGGGTACATAGAATCCGCAGATTGTGAGGTTTACCGGCTTTTTGAATAAGTATTATGGTGGCATTTTTTCATTGTTGGAAAAAGTGTCCAGTCTCCCAGAGTTGGTCGTTAAGTATTTGCACAGAGTGCTCGAGCTGCTCATCGTCCAAATTGGGGAGCCTGGGTTAGGCTATACCGTCTTTTTCGGATGATGACTTTATCTTTAATACTTGTGCGGCAGCAAAAAGCTCTCTTAATTTGAGGGGCGTCTAGCTTGTCAGTTTCTATGCCTACGCAAGCGCGTTTAGCATAATTTACGCTTGTTGTTTACACGAGTATTGATTGGTTGATTTGCATTCGGCTAAGTTCTGCAACCCTTCTTAAGTACTTGTTAAGTCTTTGCTCCTTCTATATTTTGGGGCACTCTCTGCCTACAGTCCCACAAATGAAGCAGGTCCGAGTCGACCATGGGGTTTTTTGTAGTTTGTGTACTTTTGTTGGTAGAAGATTTATAAGCATTTTTAAAACCCAGTGCACATTCTTCCAGGCTTTCTGGCGTGTGTACAGCGAATGAGTACTTGGTATATAACGGCCAATCTATTATGGCTGCAAGACAAAGTCCACGTGACAGTTTTTGAATGGTAGCTTAAGATAAAATGATTGCTTCCCAGGTTTTGCCAACGCTGGTCTCGAACATTTAGCGAAAAGGTTGTGAAATGCTTATTACGACAAGATTGTCGATAGTAGCGTTTCTTACAAGCAAATGGTTTGAACACAACATCAGCAATAGAAGCAGATAGCTTCAGTTTCTTTTATTTGTTGGCTGGCAACGTAATTGGTTGTAATACCAGTACTGCTCACTGTCACTGCTATAACGGTGAAGTCTTTTAAGCTCGCTAGCGATAAACGTTTCATCTGAAAGAATCAAAATTCACATGCGTGGACGAACAAGATGTTGGCATTCTGAAGTGTAAACATATATTTCTTGAGCTGTGAGGTTATGAAAGTGTCTCCAACACTCCCTGTGAATGACAGTTTCAATAGAAGAGTTCTTCACTCGAAGCTCATAATAACACGCTGCATCTACAATAAAAAAAAACGAGATTTACAATTTATTAAGTTTGAACAATTGTATTTTTATGTACTTACGTATCCACTCAATCAAACTTGTATCTCAACAAAGGCAGCAGTTGCAAAGCAAAATACTCCAGGCCTGTGCCAATGGCGCAGCACTGCCACAGCAAAAGCTAGAAGAGCGGTATTTCAGAGCCGTTTCAAAAATTCATTGAATAACTACTGCAAGCACACTTGCTTAATACGCACTAGGGCCTAATAATTAATTTTTAGGTAGTAGGCCGGCATTCAATATGCTATTTTTGTCATTCTTCTGAGAATCATGGTATCCGCTGAACATTTGCAAGGAATTTTGTGCCAATCGTTCATGCAGTGGCTGACGACGATGATGAACTATGGCCCCGCCACGATGGTCTCGTAGCTGAGGTACTCGGCTGCTGACCCGCAGATCGGGAGTTCTTATCCCGGCTGCGGCGCGTGCATTTCCGATGCAGGTGGAAGTGTTGTAGGCCCGTGTGCTCAGATTTGGGTGCACGCTAAAGAACCCCAGCTGGTCGAAATTTCCGGAGCCCTCTACTACGGCGTCTCTTATGATCATATGGTGGTTTTGGGACGTTAAACCCCACATATCACTCAAATAAATCAATCGATGATGAATTATGGCTGGAGTGTATATGCGCCAATATCATTGCGACTGATACATTGTGTCAAAAGAAAAGGCTGGGGTTAGAATCTTTTCTCCTTCTTTACTCTGGTATTTTCGATTTGACTCCCTGATTACACTCCTTATTTTTTGCACAATTAATGGCTATTGTTCTTGCCCTACGCGAATTGCTCTCAAGCGAATAATTAGCAGTTATCATTATAGATTCGTTATCAGTGTGTAATGCACTTTCTGCGGCAGCAAATGCAGAGCTGATGAATACGTTTCTGCATTTAGTACCGAAAAACGTAAAACAACTGCATTTTACATGGGCACCGGGTCACTGCGGATTATAATTGAACAAACTGATGGACTCTTTAGCAGCAGTATCTCTGAGTGGGCCCACCATCCCAGTTTTGCCAGATACGGCTTATGTTACAGCACTAAGGTTCCGAAATGCTTGTCTGCAATGGGAAATAGCTAACTTGGATAGATTTAAAGATTTCGAGCGTTTGAGGTATTGCTGGAATAAACAGTGGTGTGTATCTCAGCAGTTAGAGGTCACTTATACCAGATTGTGCTGTGCACTTCCGCAACTAAATTATTACCCTAACAAAGCACGACTCAAGGCATCACCGCTGTGCATTTCTTGCAACAAAATTGAAACAATTGAACATATCATTTTATTCTGTCATCGTTACTCTTATCAGAGAAAAAGATTTTTAGTAGCCCCACTACAAAAGCTAGGAATACAAGTAAATCTACCAAAGTACTTTTATCACTTGGCGGTACTTCATTTGGTTACTGCCACAGGGATATATATAAATATATATATATATATATATATATATATATATATATATATATATATATATATATATATATATATATATATATATATATATATATATATATGTATGCTCCATTGTGTTTGATTACATCAACGCCACTAATGGATTACCGTGCTAGTGAACTCTAACCTTTTCAGATCTCTAGTTCATATTTCGTAGCGATGTCTGTCAAAAAACAAGAGATGATTTGATCGCGTGCTCAGCAAACATTTTTGTTCATTGGTAGTATTATCTCTAAAGTAATTTTTCAGATTGGCTTTAATTTCTTTTTGGTTTCATTTATGGATCCTGCCGCCTGGTTCTTGGCCCATCTCCCTCTGTGGGTAAGCGCCATTCATCTGAGGTCATCAGCATCAGCATAAGCATCATAAGCGCCACAGTTAATAGGGAAATAAGAACAAGCTTTTGTAATGGGTTGGCGCATAGGATCACCCACACGTTGGGCTATTCGCATTGTGAGACGACCGGTTGTTTTGTCGCTGTTTCAAAACGCTTTATACGTCGTATAAAACGTGATTACCCTCTCGACATCGAGTTTAACAACAAGTCAGAAGCACCAGCGTAGCTCGGTGTTAGAATACTGTGCTGACAAGCAGCGGACCCTGTTTCGAGCTCCATTGGTGCTAGTTTTTTTTTTTCTGAATTCGTGCCGCAATGTGGTTACGGACACCGGTGATGGCATCGTGGCGGACAGCTACGCCTGACCCGGGTAGTCATTATACCAGCTTTCGCGGTAAAATTCGCCTTGGAGGAACGCGATCATATCAATTTAGCCGCGATTGGTTGTTAATATTGCTTTGCAGAACAACGATAACATTTGATTGCAGAAATGAAGCGGTACTCTGCGTTCCGGTTTTATAGCATAATTAGGATTAGGCAAGCATGGTGAGAACTTTGCCCTAGCCGCCATAGGAATGCACATTGACAAGCTGTTAGTTTGTGAAAACGTGCGACTCAAGGCTTTCGCTGAAGTTCCTTCGGCGTCGTTCAAGCTGGCTGAGTTCGACGTTCAGATTGAAGAGACGACACATTTCCTTGTTTATAAAGAAATGCTCTGAGCTATCAATTTTATTACCAGCATTGTTTTCCTAAATAACGCAGAATAGTAAAGAACCAGCTGCGGCTTAGCTTCGCTATGCAAGAATATACGTACCGTGAGCAATCATGAGTACGACCACACGGACAGCCGCACAGATGGACAAACGCAGGCAGAAATAGGCTAGAGAGCGAGCAATACGATGTAAAGGTGGGCTAGTCACATATAGAGTGAGTTCACGCGATTTGAATGCCAGCCCTAGTGGCACGTCACTGCAGAAGCTCCCAGGCCTTCTCAAGAACGCCAGTTATGTGTCGCGTGACGTCACCGCTCCTTGGGCTTCTGCAGCAAGGCTCTCGTTAAGCCTAGCTACCACGGTGTAGGAAGGAGAGGTGACTCAACGCGGCGGGCGAGCGCAGCAAAACTTGGTTCGGCGCGGACGTATGCGCTCGTAGGTGGCGCTGCTCGAACGGGGGCCATGTACTGCGGGTTTTCGGTAGCCACGGGCATGGAAACGCGCCTCGTACTGCGCCGTATAGTACGCGCGCTTGGATTTCAGTGTCATGAATTTTTGGACGCTTCAAACGTAAATACCGTTTAGAAATAACAGAGGTTCTTAGGGTCGTCTCGGGTTAGTATGTGAATTTTGAGGCCGAAGCACACGCACGCTATTTGGGACGCGACAGCTACCGTAGCTTCAACACTTCGCGAAAACGCAGCCCCCGCTGCGAGTAATTTATGCAGCAATATGAGCAATTAAATAAATGTTTCGGTGCACCAGTGCCATCCACTACGGTGCGACTACAGCATACAAAGGCTATTTGAATTTCGCTGAACTCGGGCACACATGAATCAGATATCTACTTTAGTTTTGCGCTGTTTCGCAACATGTTTTCACAGTAATTCATGCCTAATAAGCTTGTTCGAACATATACGTGTTTATTGCACTGTTTTTCAAAAAATGTCAACCAAGAAATATTGAGGAAATCACACACCATCAAACACCAAACTCTGTTTAGGACGCTTGTGCCATCACAAGTTTGGACAGTTTTCTGAGCTTGTGCGTCTTGTTTTCCTTTTCTTTTCTCTGTTTACAATACTGCCTCATCCGAAGACCCACATAATAATGCAAGATTTTTGCAATCACTTTGTCTCTGTGGGTGGTGCAAGGAAATGAGAGCCAGTTGTTATCTAATATATGATCAATGGTCAGCTCATAAGCATTCATTTGAGTACAATTTCTTTGAAACTCTGCTTCTGCTGCGCGAAGTAAGACAAATATGTTAGTTGTGGGATGAATGAGCTTCCCAAGGGTCTTACAGTTTACGAGGGCTGCTTCAGGTATCTGCGAGTGGGCAACAGGTCTCGCAAGGCCAAGTTTGCACGTTTCGCACGTTGTGCTGTTAAGCAACTTCCGGCACACAAACCTTGTAACATAGTAAACTATGCAGTCCACAACTTTATCCAAGGCATAGGAGTGGTCATAAATAGCTTCCCACTCTGGCTCCTCACTAACATACCCATCAAGTCTCTTCCTAAGTTCTTGGAGCTTACTTTTCCCTGGAGACTCATCTTTGAAGGCTGAAGTGAGCTCTGCTAGTGTTAAGCATGGAGCCTCTTGCCCAAGCTCAGTTTGACAGTTGCCGAACTTTGGTGGTTTAAGCAGACTGTACACACTGAGCATATTGTAGAGCTGTAAAAAGGTCGGCATCGTGGGGTGCTCATTTTGGCCTCCGGCTAGCCGAATGATGCCGAAAAATCTTTCAAGGACATCTTGATTCATTTTCCCGGTAAGCACATATGTAAAACCACACTCATTTAGCAGGTAGTTCGAAAGGCCGAGAGCAGACATGATCGTTACGCGAAAGCCGTCAGCTGTCGACTGTGTCAGGAAACTGGTGTTAGGTATTTTGCCATCAACAACCATTTGCTCCCATTCATTCAGCCACTTTAATGCTCCACTAATTCAGCCACTCATTCATGCCACTCATGAAGGCACTCATTCAGCCACTTCATTCAGCCACTCCAGAACACTGAAGTCTTTGCACCCACGCTTAAGACCTTACTTTGGCACCTGCCTGTTCAGTGCATCGAACAGGCTGTTCATGCGCTGAGTGAAGTCCACTGTCGCTTTGACGTCATATAGGCCAGGGACAGCCCTACTTGAGTAAAACTCTAAACCCTTAGCAACGCTGCGGCTGAACACCTGTGTAGCCAACTTCACTCTCATTTTCAAAGTGTTCGTCGGGTTGACGTGAGCATACGTCAGTTTAGGGCACACCTTCAAATAAGCTGCTTTTTTTTTCGTCTTCAACAAACAAGGTGTCACAATGAGCCCAATGCACATTCCCCTTAGGAGTGGTTAACACCTTCTGGGCGTGCAGGCGGTTCCTGGCACACTTAATTAAGTGTGGAGCTTCTGAAAAAACGTACACCCTTCTTTTTTCGTCCAATGGGTGCTCGAACGAGTTCCTAGAGT